ATAATACACAGAATGGCGTACTGCACGTTTTCAATAACAATATCGCCGAAACGAGGAAGAGGTGTAATATACTTAGGAAGACCCTCTGTAAATTGCTATGACAGTCAAATTTTACATGATAAATATCATTATTATTAATAATAATAAAAAATCAAATTTTTCCAAAATAAGTATATTTTTTCAAAAAACGACTTGTTCGAAAACATTTCGGAATCGTAATATATATATTCTAAAACTGTCCGCCGTCATCGTTTTCGGAGTGGAAACGATTACCTACTTATTTTCGATTTTCAAACAGCAACTCGTATTCAAAATGCCACAAACGGACGGAGTGTTTGTCGGCGACTTGGAAACGTGAAAACGTACCAGACCGACTTACGTTGACGTGTTTTGATAACACCGAGTCGGAATCGGGATAAGCGTCGTAATATACAGGGTACGCTACGTTCGGGCGGAGACGAGTCTCTATCGTTTCGGGTGTTTGCGAGTGCGGTGTTCAAATACTCGAGCGGCCGCGTTATTGTTTTCTTTCGATTTTCTCCGGCAAGGACGGCGTTTGCGGGCCCGGACGTGTGTCGAGCGTGTGCACGTGTAGAGAACGATTAACATATGCGATAACAACGGTAACAATAACATTAATACCAGCGCAACACGCCGCGCGACGGGAAAATAATTAACACGGGCTCGTTAAAGGTGTGCCGCGTGGCGCTCGCGTGTTTTACCCTCGTTTTCAATCAAATACCGCGTGTTCTCCGAATCCATCTGCAAATCCAGCGGATTGATTGGAGCTTCACCAACACTCTGGTGTTCCGTGACTTTGGTGTGCCTATTGTCTGACATTACTGTCGTTTAACTGCGAATCACATTTATCGTATTGTATACAATTATTTTTTATTGTTTTACATTTATTGTAATTTCTTATTAGATACCAACGGATAAATAGGTATAGTCGCTATAATCAAACGATGTTCAAATTTATACGTGATTATTTACTAAAAATACAATTATATTCGCGTATAAATCGAATTTCGATAGTTTCAGTTTTCATTTTTCATGAAAACGATCCACGGCCGTGCGCGGCAAAAGCAAAACTTTGAAGAGCATGTGAAAGATGACTGAGATTGGAAAAACACCACGAAAACCAAATTATCTCTGATGAAACCTTTGAATATTACAATAACAACAAGAGAATATTAAAAATTTGGCGCGTAGTTTTTATCAAATCAAAGTTTTAATACAAATCTCATATTATCAGCGTTGTGTTTTATCACAAAATAATAAAACAGAAATAATTTATATGACATGAATGACTGAATCATCTAGATAAATTTATTTAGATATATATTTTCAAATCGTTATTTATGTACTTACTTTATTTCAGAAATCACAGATAAACTAGTTGATTTATACCTACATCAATCACACAACCTATACAAATAGTAGACCTCTGTCAAATCTGATTCACATTTAATAATTTTTTGCACTCAATTTTGTAACAGGTAATTTATGAACAATTGCCTTTTTTTTTTGTTTTTAACTTTTTACAAAGTTCCTGATTATTTTATCTTTATTTCTATATTCAATTGTTACGTAGTTTTCATTCATCTAGATAATTATCTCTTATTTTAAAACGTATCTTTGTATAAGACTGCGTGTTATATATGTATTTTGATCGGGCACCTCAATCGATAAACTACGAAAACACAAAAGCTACTCAACTTTTGCCGGTTATATCTTTTGCCGCGGCCGTTAAACGTAAGTATACACAATACGTCCGTGCAATAACGGTCCCCAGTACTCCCCACGCAATTCTCATTCCCAGACACACGCATAGCACAATAATATTATCGTCCAGTAGGATCGACCACGTGTTATGGGCTCTTCCGGATAATGTTGAATATATATTGCACATTAAAACCGGATTCAATCAAAATAAAGAATGCCCTTTTGCTTTTCGACGGGGATAAAAACCACCGCCACCGATGCCAACGGATTATCGTCCGAGCACAAGAAAACATTAAGACGCATCAAAAGTGACGACAAGAGTACCGGCCAAAAGCGCCAACATTATCGCATAATATTTGCCGAACCGTTTTGATTTCTATCTCTCTATCTCTCTCTTTTTCTCTTTTAAATAGGTTTAGTTGCCTGCGTATACTAACCAAACAGCGGATTTTTTAGTTTTCCATAATTTGTCTTCATCGTGTTAAATTGTTTAAATTTCCTAATAAAAATATTATGATACGTACTATATCACTATTTATTAAAACAACACTTGTGACAAGTGTGTCGTGAACACACACGTCTGTATTCGATGAACAACTTTCGACGATCAAAGGACTGACAAGGAAAATTGGTCTTAGAGGGTGAAATAATAAATAATTAGAAGATACAACGGGCTATGCGAATATTATAAATCTAGTAAATATTGTAAAATAATGTACTAATTTTAAAATCATATCTGCAGCATTATATTACCACTATCGATTTTATACCAAAAAAAGGGAAATTTAATTTAGTCATAAAAGCTTAGCTACAAGGTATCAGCTTTAATAGCATTCATGCAAATAATTTTTTTTTTTCCCTTTGCCTTTATCCCAACTATTTGGAGATGGCCCCAAACCAACAAATATATATAAAAAAAAAAATAAAAATATTATTTAAAAAAAATCCAAATTTCTTTAAAACTTCAAAAACAGACTTTTATGTAATTAGTGAGTCAACTTTGTGTTTTTTTTTTTGTATATTCAATTTAAATACGCTGTTTGTGAACTCTATCTACTGGGACTATTTTTGTATACCTATCCGGTTAAAAATTGTAATTATTGTATACCATGTGGGTGGTTTTCAACTACAGAGTCGAGTGTGAACGTTTAACGCTTTCTTTTTTTTTTGTTCTTTTTTGGTTTGGTTTGCTAGTATAACGACTCGGTGGACGAGTGGATCAACGTAAGTCCGACCAGGTGGCTTCTAAATCAACTGTGGACGTATAGAAAGAAGTTTTTCTGTCACGTTAATGAGATGAACGACTTCTATAGTTCCATACGATTCAGTATTATTATTACGTATAATTATTTTCACGATTCTCCTAATATGGATTTTTATACATTTTTCCAAACGGTTAAAAACAATTCAATAAAATTAAAAAAAAAAATACCTTCCCAATTCACTAACTAGATAAAACGTGTTACCATAAACAATCCCTACAGAATAGAACATATGATACGATTTTTAACACATTTTTTTTTTTTAGAATTCGATAAATAAATTATAATTTAATGACATTGTACGGGTATATGTATCGATATAAGAAGTGCTGCACGAGAACACGACCACAGTCAATATTCGATTAGCTAGTATGGAGACTGATTGATTTGTCTTGACGTTTTTTTACTGCTTCCGCTCCGACTATGGTCTTTCTTTGACGTCGTCAATTTCTTAAAACTCTACACTTCGCGGTGACCGCGGTCTTTATAACGATGGATTCAGGATCGGATTAGGCCGGCGTGCGATCGTGCTTAGCACAGTATGGGCCGTTTACTTAGTTATTAAACTTGGCCGGTCACCGGCGATAATAATGGTGCGCGATAGTTTTTAGACGTTATAAAAATAAAAAAGTAAAACGTTCTGTATTGCAACCGATGCATACCTTTGAACCTTTCCGGCTATTATTTTCGGATTTCATGTTTTTCTCGCGCTGTTTGGAAATGAGCTCGAATGTGAATTAGGTTATTGTCCGATTGGCGTACTTAGACCTGCGTTTTCATGAAAGGGATCGAATCGACACACTATATAAGCGGCAAACGACTTCCACCACCGAAAACTATAGGGATTACAGCTATGATGAATCGTTGATGGACCAGTTCATTGACGCGAGCAGAAAATCTATCCGAGTGTCTCGGTAAAGTTTTTCGAATGGTCCTTTTTTTTTTTTTTATTTCTCTTACGCGAAACCCTAAACAAACCTGCCCGGGCCCCACGATGTATAGGACCAGACCGACACGGCGAGGGCCATAATAAAATCGAACACCGAACGGTTTTACAACATTGCGTACATTGTCTAATTATCGAAATTATATTCGATATTTCAGAGTCCGGGGGAGGCTGGGGGAAGGGCGTATGTCCCGTTCGGCCTCCGCGTCCGGGCGTCAAAGGCCCGGTCGAACGCGGTCGACCGAAATCGCCCGGCCCGGCACCGCGTCCGACGGCCGGTCGACCGCGCGCGCGTTTCGCCCGCGGCCGTTCGCGTTCTCGCGCGGAACAACACGGCCGTGCGAGAACATTCGTGAAAAACGCCAAAAGTCTCGGCGAGACGCTAAACGGCGCGTTACGCGGACGGCACGGAGACGCGTAACGCCGTCCGCTCGACGCGCGACCGTAACGACAATTGGCCGGGGGATTTCGCGCGGGGCCGTGACGGCCCCGGGGGGTTCATGAAATAATCGTGCGCGGGTCCCGGCGCGCCGTCGGGCGGGTGCCGCACGACAGACGATACCCGGCCCGGACGTCTTTCGGATCCGTTGGGAACCGTTCGCGGGCCGCTCAACAATAAACATTTACGGCCGCGACGATATCATCGAGAACGGTCCCCGCCGAAAACGATTTTCCGATCGTCGGACGCGCCGCCGACCGCCGTTTTAATAAAATATTTACATTATCGTGGTGTACACGACGGCGGGGCCGGTTTTTCGTGCGGTGTTTTTCTTTTTATCGCATCATCGATGTTCGTCAATTGCGAGACCCGAGGTTTTTCTTTCGGGGAAATCGACGGTTTACAAAAAATAATATTTTTTTTTTTTTTTATTCGTGTCAAACAACCACATATAAATATAAAAAGATATAAACACGAGTAAAATTAAATAAACAAAAAAAAAAAATCAAATCAAATAATTAAAATAAAAATATATAAATCACAGATGAACAACCAGTTATTCTTACTAGGTATATAAATAAGGTTTTTTATTAAATTATTAAGTTCCCCTTCCCAATGTTTCGCCACTTTAATTGCATTTTTTGGTCACTGTTAAGAGATCCGAAGTAGTGCATGTTGTTGGACAGTCTGGACATATCAATAGGTGGCTCACGGTATGTTCATCTCCGCAGTCGCATTTCGTGTCTCTTTGTATTACACCCCACTTCTTCAGATTGTCTTTTGATCGTCCTACTCCCGTTCTTAGTCTATTGAGTGTTCTCCAATCGACGTTATATCCTGCGGGAAGGTGTTCTGCTGGTGAAATCTGATCATCTTCAATATAGCCTACGGTTAGATTAGGGTTAGATTCCATTCGGGGTACAACGGTAGATCGCTTCCTCGTAGTGTACCCGGGGGTAACGTTTAAAACGGCCGTAGATCTACCACCGTGCACGCAGAAAACCTGAAGCTCGCGCTAAAGGCGCACAACAGAATTTCTGCAACTCCAAACAACCAACAAAAAATAATAATAATAAATGCGGGCATTTTTTTAAACGACGGCGGACCCGAACCCGGACAGTGTTTTTACACATTTTCCAGAATGCCTGCCCACAATCACATCATCGAAAACGAGGATAACCATCGGTAAAGTTTTTTTTTTTTTTTTTTCCCTAGAAAAACCGACCGCGTGTTATCAATATACAAGCATAATACTATTATTGTTGCGTTTAGATTTATATAATACAGGTACCTACCGAGTTCGTGTATGGTTTGCGCCCGGCCGGCACACCGCGGGTACACCCGGCTCTACTCGACGAACATTCGATGCCGAACAATTCTTTTTTCTTTTTCTTTTTTCGTCCCCCCTCCCCTCCCCCCCGGATAAATCGCGTGTAAAAAACCACCCCTAAACGAAGGGTGTCAAAAACCGAGAAATCCGTATCGTTACAATATTATTATTTTACTCGCTGTAACTTGACATAATAGTTGCATATCATCACATATTCAGGTCCGTTGTTCGCTTCTACAATATTTCACCAGGCATTGCCGCGAAACCGTCGTTTGCGGTATTGTATTAGAGTTTTTCAAAAGTTAACACCGCTGATTACTGTGCTTACTTTTTCAAAAGAATATTTGAATATTTTCCCTGGAGTATACATATTGGTGTGAGTAGGTAGCAAATATAATATTGATTTTGTGCCAACGAAACACGAATGTACGCAATAAAAATTCCGTAAATGAACGACATTCTGTATTATACTAATATGCGGACTGTAAATAAAATTGTATTTTTTGATTGTGTTGATATTACGAGTTATTATAATCTATTCGGATGTAATAGAGATTTTATAGTAATAATATTGTCGCTTTACTATAAATTTAAAAAAAAATAAAACGTGTGCTGTAGCGCCATCTATGTTTTAAAAATGACGCTCGCACCATGCCACCACATTTATACTGTGATATAGCAATAATATATATTGCATTATAATTTGTATGTAAATAATAAATTAAGAAACGAATTTATATGCACTTAAAGTCCACAAAAAAGTGCTTATAAACGGTAAAAAAAAAAAAAAAACATTCAGAAAATATTTTAATAAACAAAAATGGTAGAGCAGTATAAAATTTCCTCCCGTAATGGTTCTAAATTAGGTATGTATTCAAAATAATTTTCTAACACTTTAGGTACGAAAACGTTTAACACATGTAATTTTTCCCTAATAANATATTATTAAGTGATTTTTGTTTTAGAGGTCTTTTTATTTGACAATTTTAAGCGCTTTTTTGCGAATTTTAAATGCACATAAATCCGTTTCTAGTAACAATATACTAAATAATCGAGTTGGATCCAACTAAGTGGCTATACTACATAACCTAACCCGAACGGCAAATTTGTAAAAAAAAAAATCTAAATACTATTGTACAGGTAACATCTGCAGTTGGCAAAATATTTTCTTCTCCGCATAACGAAATATATTGTTTGAACAAAAGAATAAATACAATTTCGTAATGCATATTGTTAGTGACAGAAGTTCAATGTGAATTTGTTTAACATTTAAAATACCGGTGTGATTCTCCGTTTGGATAATATGTAACCACCTAAAATTAACTATTTCGATTGATACGAAACGTTAAGGGCGTTTTGTTTTTAACACTGTTGGGAAGGAATAGGAAAGAGTTAATATTTACGTGGAGTGTGAACAATAATTTCCGTTCCTTTTTTTATGAAAAACCAAAAAAAAATAAAAAAAAATGAATAAATATGTTATAATTTATAACATGTTCAACAATTAAAAAAGGTCAAATTTACAAATAATAATTGAAATTGTCTGTCCTCGTTCGCGTGTTATTCTTTAAAGTGTTTTATGAAAAATGTGCATCCGCACAAGTGACTAATAAATAACTTACGAGAACCTTTAATATCAAATGTGTATATAATTCCAAAGTTAATTTATTATTAATATTTTTAAATTAATAAAATGAAACAAATTATTTTGGGCTGCATTTTGGGTAGACATTAAAACATTTAAAAAAAAAAATTTATTTTAGGAATGAGTTCTTTTTTTAAGGAATAAGCAACCGGATCAAGTTTTCTTTAAAAAAAAAAAAAAACTTTTCCAATATTTGAAATAATACTTTAAATTTATGTGAATAAATAATTTTTGGTTCTAAAAAATGTTCAAAAATCTGTTGCAATGTTCATTATTAACGCATCAACAAATAAAAACAAAGTTTCAAATTTATAATAAACTACGTTAAAAACACGAAAAATTGTAATATTTATTTTGTACTTTCAGGACACAATTTTATACATTTTTCGAATTATGTTTTGTTAAGTCGAATACGTTTTTCAGACGGGCTTCAAAAATCATGTATCTCGTCAGGAGATTGTAAATTAACAGGGAGAGATTACCCTAACTTATGTAACCCTATTTTTTTTTAATTTTAAAAAATTACGTTAGTGGGTCAAGATTACAATTTTAAATTGTCGGATATTCTGGGTGAAACAGGGAAGTTAAGTATTCCAATGAGATTTACGGTTAGTGAAAAGACTTTCAATATTTCCCCCTCCACCTAAAACTTCTACGCTCACTTTTAATAATACTTTCTATTTGAAACATTTAAATATTTTTTTAAGATCTAAAACTTTTTCGTTCCGCTTTAAAATTAGTTGTCGGACTTTTATTGGAAATATTCGAAAAAGAAAAATCGTACCCGTCGAAAGTAATAGACTCGTGATAAATTCACTTCACTATTACTATTTGGGAACCGCTCAGACGTGTAGGCATAATGATCATCCGAGTAGTTTTTTTTTTTCTGGCTGCGATTTTATTGTCGCGGGAACTGGACGCTCGTCGTCCGTAAATATGAACTGCGATTTGAAATATTATCGTCAACCGATTTTTTTCCGTTATTTTCGTATAACCAAACGAGTTTCTTCGGTGTACACATTTTGGTCGAGATTCCCGAACCGTGCAAATTGTATGTTGCCGATCGGACCAGCGCGATATTCCCCATAGCGTAGCTGGTCATCTTTTCCGTTTCAACTGTTTTGAATGTGTGTTTGCCCGGCGCCAGTAGGGTTCGATATATCCACACGAGCTACACACTACACACAATACCTTATTAGTTTTTGTCGGGGTGTACGTTAGAAAAAAAAAAAAAAACAGAAAACGGATTTTCTTCACGAATCAACAGTCACGTATCGTTGCCATTCCCGTCGTCTCGCTTAATGCTTTCAAATTATTAAACAGTTCAATAAACGAATAAACCGTAATGTTTTTTTTTTTTTTTTTAAGTCGGTTTTTTGGATACGTCAATGTTCTTGAATATGTAGTTGAAAAAAACCATTAAATGTATTTTAGACTGCGGGAAGTTTGATAAGTTACTATTAGAGTCTACGTCATAGAAGCAAAAATAGCGAGAGACAATAGACCCACCACAAAGTGTCGAATAACCCTACCACACCGCCCCCCCAAACCAAAAAAAAAAATAAAAGATTTTTTTGTATCGTATATGAATACGCTTATCGAGCATACACGTGTACGAATTTAGTTTTATAAAGGTAAGAATTCGTATGTCAATAAATAATAAGGTTTCTGTCCAGATGTACCTACTGTCAAAACGTTTTGCACCGCAATATTCGTGTGCGTTATCAATTATGCGTATCATTGTGTGGTGGCATCTCTGTCCACGATCCGGGACAGGTATAAAATAAAAAAAAAAAAAAAAAAAAAAATGAGTTATGGCCTTTGGTTTTTTTTCATAAGGTTTAAATTTAAAACACTTTTTGCGCCTATAAACCCTCGTGGGAACTAGTCGGCGAGCGTCGGTTCATAATTTACAGAGCGTCGTAGGGTGGGTGGGCGTAAAACGAAATCGGCGATTCTGCCGTCACTGATTTGTTAATACAGGCCGGTACCGAAGGCCGTTCCCGACAAACGATTTCGAAATGTCGGCACGCGGAAGAGCCCGCACCGAATATTACTGCGCCGCGACGGCGTGAAATCGCGTGATATTTTCTCGGGTGCGGGACGCTTTCGTACCTGAGTGTTTTCGCGCGTCGTTCCGGCGAGCCCGTTATTTTTTACGGTAACTGCGGCGGAACCCCGAGCGCGGCACCGATTTCCAAAGACCGTCGCGCACGCGCACGACCGTTAATATTAATATTATTATTATTGTTTCCGAGTCGGCGCGATTAATTCGCGCCTCGGCCGTAATCTCGCCGGGGGAAACGACGGTATCCACTCCGGGGCCGGCTTTTCGGTCCTCGGCGACGACGGCCGGGAGTCGATAAACCGCCGCCGCCGCCCCGCGGAAAACAATAACAATAATAACACCGCGGCGGTTGTCGTCGTACACCGTAACGACACTGACACTACGCCTACGCCGCACTATACACGGCGCGTACGCGTCGCGTTTAACATGCGCGCCGGCGAAACGTATTGCGGGCGCGTCGCGGGCGCGTCGGTCGCAGTACGCCCGGCGTGCATACAGGGCGATTGTTTTGTCGCGGACCGGCGACCGTCAGCGGCGCGCGACGCGTTTGCGCTCGGCGGCGCGGCCGGAATCCACCGACGCGCGGGGTTCCGGGGGTGGGAGGGTGGGACGGCTAGATTCCGGGATCCGGACCCGACCTACGGCTGAGGAATACGAAGCGACGGGAGGGTACGACGTCCGATCCCCCGCGGTCGGCTGCGCCACCGATCCCTGCCGACGCGTTCTCCGTTTCGATCCGGGGTGGTCGGCTGTTTGCGAATCCGAAGCCGAAGCCGGTTTCGGGCGCGCGGCGTGATCCGGCGTGAACGGCGTCGACGCGGTGCGGTGAAAACGGACGGGCGTCGAATCCGCCGTTAAACAACCGTCCGA